GCTCTTTGCCCCTCATGCCCCGCTTCCTCCAGCACTCTCCAATTAAATGAGTACAACGGCTCTTAATTCCTCTGGGGAGCTGGGTGATGAATGTATAAATAAATCACTTGAAGAATGCCAACAGTCTTGGGGAGAGCCTGGTTCAGATATGCTATTGACCCAATAGAGTATTTGCATTGAATTGCTACCATTAGAACTCTGCAAGTTCACCACTGAATGGACTCCACACGAGAACAAGTTATTCCCTGCAGCATTTCACGTAACAGCAAGAGACTGGACGCAACTTTAATTCCCTTCCAGAAAGAATGTGCACTTCATGCCCATCGCGGCCACGAACATGGCCATGAAGCCGAGCACGAGGGACACCACCATGAGCGCTCTGGTGGCCTGGAAGGCGGCTGCGAGGGGGGAGAGAGGCCTTTCATGACGGAGGCAGCAGCCTTCGGACCGGCCACGAACATGGCCATGAAGCCGAGCACGAGGGACACCACCATGAGCGCTCTGGTGGCCTGGAAGGCGGCTGCGAGGGGGGAGAGAGGCCTTTCATGACGGAGGCAGCAGCCTTCGGACCACCCCAGCCTTCGAGCCCGCGGCTGCCCGAGGCCCGGCCGGTTCTGGGTGGATCCCGGTTGTTGTTCTTTAGAACAGAGATAGAAATAACTCTTCCATTCTCCCCAGTAAGCTAATCCAGTTAGTCCTTTTCCTGGTGGAACCCAGGCCTTAATCAAAGAAACAAGCCTTTAAGTATGTACCCCAAAGCATAGTCTCTACATCTGCAAAACGATGCCACTCCAGACCCACTGAATCAGAGCAATTCTGGGCAGTCTGCTTGGACAAGCCCTTTAGGTGCTTCTGATGCCTCCTGGACTGAGGCCACTGGCTTTCTAGACCACAGAACTGCAAGCACTGAATTTAAATTTATCATCACCGGGCAGGGCGAGCACCGAGTCGTACATTTTGCAGCTAATCATCCCCGTGCTCTGCGTCACGCAGTCCATCCACAGCCCCTTGTACATGGCCTGGGCTGTGATGATGTTGTCCCCCGCGTAGGAGCTCATCTGCCATTGCGGGAGGGCGGTGCACACCACCAGGCCCACCCAGCCCAGCAAGGCCATGGCGAAGCCGAGCAGCTGCAGGCCCGAGTTGGCCATTCCGCCCTCACAAAGACGAAGGGCGCGCGCGGAGCCTCGGCAGCAAAGGAAACTTCGAGGGGCGAGCCCACCAGACGGCTGGGGCTGCAGTTATCAGTCACCCAGAGCGCAAAACAGCTTCTGGTCGAGTGACTGCGAAGTTTTTATCACCCGAAGCAAACCAATCGCCCCTCCGGCGGGCGAGGGTCTCCGCAGAGGGAACAGGTTACGCTCCGAGGACTAGTGGCCGGCAAAGGCGATCCCCGGAGTCCAGGCCGGTCCCTCCGGTGCTGCCGGCGACGCTTCCCAAACAAAAGGTGGAGGCGCCGAAGGGGCGGCTCCGGGTGCTGAAGTCCCCGCTGGCCCCTGGGCT